TAAAGTATTTTCGATTAAAAATAAAAGAAAATATCTATATTATCCGAGGAAATTTCATTATTAAAAATAATTGTAGAAATTTAGGAAACCATGATTCTTAGTATCACTATTTAACATGTTTAATGTTTTGTTTGTATAATGTTTATAAATAATATGACAATGTACTACCATTTTAATGTTTCTCTTTCTATTATTTAATTTGAAGGAAAAATTCTTATAATCGCTTCAACAAACGCCAAACCCGCTCAAAAGAAATCAGATTTGGACATAAAGAAGGTGAAATGTATGTTTTTGGTATGTTTATGTATATTTTCTGTATGTTTTTCCTTAAAATTCAGATCATACTAACTTTAGCTTCAGAGTTTTGATAATTGTAACTTAAATTTCTCAGCAGGCCCATGTTTGTCCAAAATAATAATTTAGATTGACTTCGTTAAGCAAGGTGCATTTTTTTCATCAAATCCATAAACTTTACTATATGTAATCATTATCTTTATCTTTTTTTTTTAGGTTCAAGTAGCAATTGTTGTTTTTAAAAGCTATAAAAGGCCATTCACTACAGGAAACAAAAAAAAGCTATAAAAGGCCATTCAATACAGGAAACAAAAAAAAGATAGACGTTTTCGTGTTCATACAAAACATATCTTCATGGTGTCATCCCTAAAGAGATACAAATTACAACATTTTATCATTTTTAGGCAAAAACTATAATATGTTAATTATACACATCTAGTCAACGATAATAGAAACATACTTACTTTTTTTATAGATAAAAGAAAAATGTAACTTGTAATAGCAGTTTAATTTAATATGTAACCAATAAAGTACAATGCCCATATTAGTAGGTAAACTATAAGTACATTGTTATAATAGGTACAAAAAATGCATTTCTGATGATGAAAAACAAAAGAAATTAAAAAATTATAGTGTTTTGGCTTTGGCCTACCTCTTTCCTTACATTTTTTGTCCCATACAAATTGATGTGATTGAAATATTGTTGTAGCTTCTTATTGAACGATTTGACAATTAAGAGTTGTACATTTATGTATAAAAACCTTTTGCAACAAATGTTTCAAGCATAAAACTACCCAAATTAATGTGTCTGTCCGAAGACAATAGTTGCATTCATAAAATCAGATGAAACATGAAAGTTTCAGAACATCAAAACACATAACTAACAATAGTTAAGCCCACAACGCGGGGGTGACACTCTCCTAGTTAATTAGTTAATTTGAGTTTTTTTCAATTAAACTAGTTAGCTAGCAAGTTAAAAGCATATATTTTTATTGAAGTTTTTTAATAGTTTGTAAATTTAAACAAGTAACCCTTAACGTTTGGTAATATTAAAGTTATATTTTTGTAATATTTGTACTTTTAAAAATGAATTCTGAAAACCTAATTGATTAGGTCCACTTTTTATTTTAGTTCATATTTATATGTTGAAAACCAAAATTATTTTAGATTTTTTTGATATGCATCTACTATTATTATTATTATTATTATTATTTTTATTATTAGAGTAAATTACTAAAATCGTCCCTATGGTTTGGTCAAAATTGCACGTTTGGTCCCTAACCTTTTTTTTGCACTTGGATGGTCCCTATGGTTTGATTTTGTTACATTTTTCGTCCCTTACATACATAAAGTTAGGGACCAAACATGCAATTTTGACCAAACCATAGGGACGAAAAACGTAACAAAATCAAACCACAGGGTTGTTCCGAATGCAAAAAAAAGGTTAGGGACCAAACGTGTAATTTTTACTAAACCATAGAGACGATTTCAGTAATTTACTCTTATTTATTATTTTAACAACAAATCTAATCTATTATTCTTATTATTATTATTATTATTATTATTATTATTATTTTTTTTAACAACAAATCTAATCTATTTCTAATTTTACCCATGTTTCAGATGAGATTTGAACCATCGACTTTACAGATAAAGAGCTAACACATGATACCGATTAGACTATTCAAATAAACATTCCTACATAAGTGAGTAGGATAGGTTGTCTACATATGTTTGGTGCTTATGTATTTAGAATTCAAATGGTCCCTGTGGTTAGCTGAAAATTGCCACTTTGGTCCAAAAAGGTTTGGACTAGCACCAGAGGTCCAAACTTTTCATTTTGTTGCGAGTTTGGTCCAATTTTCTATAAACTTTTTCATAATGACTATTTCGCCCTTATTTTTTTCTTTTTCAGTTTTTTTATTATTTAAATACTTTTTTTGATTAAAAGAAAATTTTAAAAAGAAAACTTGCATTTTCTATTTTATTTTTATAATTTTTTTATAACAAAATAAAAAAAATAAATTGAAATCTCTCTCTCTCTCTCTCTCTCTCTCTCTCTCTCATTTCTTGCTTACTACCGGCCAAGAAGAATAAATCGGCGGTTGTCGCCGGCCTAGGCTGCCCCTCCGCCTCTCACTGGTCAGGTAGCACCACCCCAAACACCCGCTTCGATCGTTGTTGCCTTTCATTTGAACCTCCACAAGAGAAAGGAGATCGAGATCTGAAAGTTAGGGTTTCTTGGCGGCTAGGTTTTTCAAATGGGGTGTTTAATGACTAGAAATCGAGGGGGAGACACATGGGGTTGCTCCAGCAGCTTCTACTGCTTCGTTCCACAACAACAATCAGCGACGATGGTTCTACAACAGCGGCGTCGGTGGTGGCAGGGGTTGCTTCGGCGACTTCTGCTGCTTCATTCCTTGTTGTTTCGACGAGCTCGACGAGAGGGAGGGTAGCGAGGCGATGGTTGGAGCTTGAGCTCATTTCAATTCAACAGGAAAAAAAAAGATTAGAGATGGTGGTGTCTTGCGGTGGCTGAGGAAGAACTCCGACTGCAGCAGTAACGGGGGCTTTTGGTTGGTGTTTGTTTGACAGAACAGAAGGAAGTGGGTGGTTGGAGTGGTGGTTTTCGGTGGTTACAGTGGTGAAGTGGTGGGTTGTTCTCGGAAGGGAAAAAATAACAGAGGAAAGGAGAGGGAGGTGACACCGGTGATGGTGGGTGTTTCTTGGTGGCCGCAAAACAGCTCCACCTCCGGTGGAGTTCTCTTGCTCGAAAATGAAGAAGAAGGAGGAGGGATAACCACCTCCTTTGACTCGTAGGATATGAATGAGAATAAGAGAGAGATTTGTGACGTTAGAGAGAGAGAGAGAGAGAGAGAGAGAGAGAGAGTTCATTTTTTTTATTTTGTTATAAAAAATTATAAAAATAAAATAGAAAATGCAAATTTTCTTTTTTATTTTTTCTTTTAATCAAAAAAGTATTTAAATAATAAAAAACTATAAAAAAAAACTAATAAGGGAAAAATAGTCATTATGAAATTTTTATAGATAACTGGACAAAACTCGCAATAAAATTAAAAGTTTGGACCTCTGGTACTAGTCCAAACCTTTTTGGACCATGTGGTAATTTTCAGCTAACCATAAAGACCATTTGTGCATTGGATTTTGTATTAATTATTATTTAAAATTTAGATAAAATTACATATGTGGTCCGTTATGGTACAGTGGAAATTACAAATTACAAGTTTGATCCATTTTTCATTTTCGATACCCAAACAACATGTGGTTTCATTTTTTTTTTTACAAAATATCCATAGCTAATTCTTTTAGATTATAAAAGCTTCTCAAGTGACAAAGTTACCTTTATATAACTCTGATTCTGACTTTTATTATTATCCAAACAAATAAAAATAATAAATTTAAATGAATGGTCCACTCACCCAACTCTTACACATCTCTATTTTTCTCTTTTACTCTTGCCTATTCTCTTCTCTTATACATCTTTTTATTCTTGCCTATTCTCTTTTCTTATATGACAACCATAATCGACCACCATTGTCCCTCTTCTTCACTATCGTCACCATTTTCATCTCCGGCCACTAGCTTCTTCTCCGACAAGCAACACTCTCACCGCTTTAAACCAAAGTCCTTAAGTTTGTCGTTTTTATGAGGAGGGTAACAAGAATCGAACCCGTAAGCTCCCTTAGACAAGGCCAAAGCCTTTACCCTTAGGGTGTAGCTATTTTTGTGTATATCATGGTCCACGTGTATTTATTAAGCCTACATATAATAAATGTATTTTGTATTTAAATATGTATTTTTGGCTTATTTTTGTGTATTTACATGTATTTATATGGAAAAAATACATATTGAAGTGTAGTTTTTACATATAGATACATGTTAATATGTATTATTAAGTGTGAATATGTACATTTTTACATAAAAATTTGTATTTGTTTTTCTTTAAACTATGTTCCTTTTTATGATTCTGAATTTTAAAAACGTATTTATATTTCTAAAAACATGTTTATATATTTCTAAAAACGTATTTAAACATACGTATATTTTGCATGTCTTAAATTACAAAAATGAATAAAGAACGTCAGTATATAAAGACCGAAACCAACTGGTTTAGATCAGTTGGCCACCAGGGTTGCCTAGGTGGTTTTCCTTTGGGAGGTCTCGGGTTCAAGACTTCTTGGAGGCTTTTCCATAGGTGAAGCGGGGAAATGGAATAATGGGGTAACTCCCCATGGGTGAAGGTTCGGGAAAGGCATACTGCCCGCTTGGATGTCACTGCATGACTCGAACCATTAACATAATCTAACTCTGCCGTTCTAAAAAAATATATAAAGACTGAAACCACAACAAAAGAAAACCAAATGATCCGAGTAGAAGAAAAAAAAAACAGACTCATATGTACAAAACCATTAAGACAATACGTGTCATTTACTATTGAATTTATAATAAAAAAAGTATTCATGGATATCCTTTTCCCCAACTCAATGGCCCGTTGAGCCTATATTGGGTTGGCTAATGAGTTTGTTAATAGGTTGGCTGAATGATTCACCAACAACAAGCTCTTTTCCTCGACTGGACAGGTTGGTTCAAATGTTCAATGATCTGAGTATCAAACCCTACCAGATTTGAGTGGACCACATTATCAATTATCACAGTTGTATAAAAAAAACATGTAACGACTCACGAAAGATAAGTCTAGTAACGTTGACAAAAACTGAGTTTCATTCATCATAAATAAAGAAGTAAACGAGGTTACATAAAAATTTCTCAACTCTTGTGACAACAGATATGGTTACATTGAATGTAATGTGTAGATTATCTATATTCTACATGAAACATACAAGGAGTTCACCAGCAGATATCTATATATAGATAGATTAGTTAGATTTGGTGAGATTCAAACTGAAATCCCAGAGTTTCTTGGCGAGCTCTGCATCTTGAGCATGTTTGCTTGCTTTACCCAAGTTGCTGTCTGCAAAATACTCACCACTAACCCCCTCAACTTGTGGATTCAAGGCGACATAGCATGTAGTTGCAGTTCCCTGTGGGATGTTCTTCAAGATGCGGTTGAATACACCATAGAAAAAAGCTATACCAACACAAGTTACAGATCATCAATCAGCATGCATTCATATATGGAAAAACTAAGAGGACTAATTTCTTGTGAAAAACACAATATAGTCAGTATTGGGGGAGTAAATAAGAAATTGGATGTGAAATTAGGGGTTGAGAGATATATTATACCATTGAAACCACCATTGCGTGCAAGGTTGGTGGCAATAACTCCAGGGTGCACAGCATTTGCAGTAATTTTCACACCTTCTTCCTGAAACCTCCTTGTCAGCTCTTTCGCATGCAATGCATTTGCAAGTTTTGATTGCCCATAAGCTGAGAACGCGCTATAGCTGGAAACCATATCATGAATCAGCAAAAAAAAAAAAAAAAAAAACACATTATAAATGAATGTTTATAGAATTTAATGAGATGCATCCAATCTTGAAAGGAAATGAAGGTTTACCTCTTCTCATCATTGATTTTATCGAACCTAATTCCTTCTTTGTATGTCATCCTATGGATCTCTGATGAAAGAATAACGATTCTTCCTTCTTTCCCACTTTCTTTCACAGTCTTTTTCATGGTATCCAACAACAAGTTTGTCAAAAGGAAGTTACCTACACGTAACAAAACAAATTATATATGTATGTCCCTTTCTGCATCTAAAACAGCATATATATAAGTAGTATCGAAATCATGTCACATACCAACATGGTTGGTCGCAAATTGCAATTCAATGTTGTCTTTGCTAAGAGAGAAGGGAGGACTCATGATCCCTGCATTCAGACTTTTCAACACAAAAAAAAAAAAAAAAAAAATTGATAAAATCAGTTCATTTCCCACATCCCCAATTTGATAAATGATCAAATGAATTTGTCTTGTCTTACATCAAGATGTTCAATGGATACCCCTTTGAACAATATTGTGATGCAAATTGTCGGACGGATTCCTGTGAGCTGATATCTAACTCCATGACATCAATTTTTGCGTTGGGGATTTTCTCGACGATGCTTTCTTTCACTTTTTTACCAGATTCCAGGTTTCTGACTGGCATAACCACATGCACCCCACGTAAGGCAAGCACACGTGCCGTTTCTAATCCGATGCCACTTGTAGCTCCTGAAAGTCATATAAAACAGAGGTTTAAATGGGTTTTCAGTATGGATCAATACATCATGTTCATATTCGTTTGCATCAAATTTAGACGATCGATAAGGATACTTAGCTTTATTAGAACATATTAGATGCAGATAATGGTTTATAAATAATCGTCAGATCACTATGAAATCCCGGTTCAAATTTTAGTAACAAAATTTTAAGTATCTATGATCCCTGCTTTTTAATTCGACTTCTTAATCTTAATGATCAAATAGATCAGGGTTGTAACTTCAACATCAATTGAAATCGTAGACAAGAAAATGGTAATGGCATGGATCGACTGGAAAGTTCATCGAGTACGGAGAAGTCAAACGGAAAATAGTTTCCGCAAACAAACACACAGAGATCAGGATCCGACGGAGAAATATTCAATTATTCATCAATCAGAAACAGAGCACAGGAACACACACACACAAAAACATGAATTAGAAGTAAAATTACCAGTAACAATAGCGGTGAGGCCAGTTCCATCGACTCCTTTTGTAACATCTTCAGCTGTAGAAGAAGCAGCAAATCCAGATTTTCCCGTGAATATTGAAATCCAAGTCATTTTTGCGTGATTTTTTGGGTTGAAAACGAAAGCACTTGTAAGAATCAAAGGCACTATGTATAACGTCGCAGATAATCAAGGAAACCCACTTAGATAAGTTTTGTAGAAGATGATTTCAAATTGAGATGAAAGCATGGATTATATAGTATCGCAGTCTGCAGATAAGCGATTCAACGCCCTACTCGGTCTTTCACGCTATAGAATAAAAAACATAGAAAATTAAAGGGAAGTCAAACTCAGACTCAGACGTCAATCTTGAACGATCCCATTTGAAATCTAGAAGGATCAAATAAATTGTTTAAGTCCATGAACTTTATCATATTGTAATTTTAAGTCCCTATACTTTTTAAACCAAGTTCAAGACCAGTGTCATTGATCCTATGAACCCTAACCCTAACCCATTCTAGCTAAATCATTTTTTAAGACCAATTCATATGTATTATATAGAACTTGTTGGACACGACTCTACTTTATACTTGTTAGTTGTATATACACGTTGTTTAATTACAATTTGATACATATAAGCTATTAAAATTCACAAGTCAAGTGTTTTAAGGATAATATATCAATGGACATTTAATTAGTACCATTATTATTATGTTTATGTCGCCTTGGTTTAGTTATGGCTACAAGGGGTTTCATAAACCAACAATCTTTTCGCAACTAGTGGAACCAGTTGACAAAGATTGATATTAAGCTGGTAATGAAGACTTCAAAATCATTAATAAAAAGATAATTTTTTTCATTTTATAATAATATTATCCATGGACATCATGTCCCAATTAATCCGAAAATCCAATAAGAATTTATCCCAATAATTGTCAAGGTTAATAAAGATAATTAAATAAAACATTCCTTGAATAAAATAACTAAGACGCTAATATCTGAAAATTAGGAATTTATATTTTTCTAGTTTTTTAAAAGAGCTGTAAAGAAGAAAAAAGATCATTTCAATACAAACATGGGATGGGATCCCTACTCCTTAGTCCTTACGAACATTGTCAAAAGGTTTTTTTTTTTTTTTTTTTTTTTTTTTTTTTTTTTTTTTGTCAGTAATGGCCAACAGAAAGAATGCAACTACGTAGTGTTTAGAACATGTCATAGTCGTTGTTGAGGGACTAAAGATGTAAATTGACCTAAACATTCGTCATGGATGAATCACCGTCGACATAAACACCATCATATTCGGCGGCCAAAGAATTGAAAGTCAACTTCATATGAACATGTCTTTGGTCAAACATTTTTTTTCATTTAAGGTAATCGCTATATTTTTAGACCACTTTCATTCACAACCAAAATTAACAACTATATATTAAAAAATTAATTTATCTCTCTTCCACCTATACAACCCAACTAAACTTAAACTTTTACTTTCATTAGCAACCCAACACAACCCAAATTTTTAACATAAAGAAACAATAAAAAATATCAATAGTAGACTTTATTTATAGACAAAAATAAATTATGAATTTTAATATATTTAGTTTTTTTATTTTCAACCAATAAAATATATTTTTTAAAATTATAAAGTTTGTTAGATAATAAAAGTAAATGTCAGTCAAGAATTGTGCTAACCAACTTGAGTTCGCTCCACCAACGCGTTGGTGGGTTTTATGCCTTTTATATGGCATTTTGATTTTCTTTTTAATTTTCAACCCAACCAACTAAAATAATTGGTCATCAATGGGTATAGTTTAAGAACAAGTTCATATAGTTCAAGCCTTCACTCAAAATATATTTAAATCTGGTGAAGTTGGCGTCTACATGAATAATACGCCACATTATATATATATATATATATATATATATATATATATATATATATATATATATATATACTAGGGATGTGTAAGGTCAGTGCTTTAGCACGGCCCATGAAGATTTCTTAGGAAAAGAGTAAAAAAATATTATACAAGTATAATGTCATAATGTGCAAAAGCAAAAGTCTGTTATTTGTTTCGAACATGTGAATGTACCACCTCTTGATGTAGTTGAACCAATAATGAAAAAAGGGGAGTAGTTATTAGAACAATGGAGCAAGTGAATATCAAAGTTGAGGTCAAATGCAAAAAATAACAACACACTCCTAATAATGAGTTTAGTACAACACCCTACATCTTACATTTTCTTCCTTTTACAACATTGTACTTTGGAGAATCTACCTAATTATGGCAATGTCATCCAAATACAATTTACATGAAACTACAAAAAAAATGAAATTTAAGTATTTTACATTAAACATGAAGAAAATGATTATATTACCCTTCATCTCATTGTTCCAAGTAAATGACAATATTAACCTGATCTAAATTTTTAAATGACAATTATTTATAAAAAAATATAGAAAAGGACAATTTAGTCATTTGACTTGGAACAGGACCAAAAAAGTTGCAAACACCTTAAATGAAGAACAACGTAACTATATTCCCCTTTATTTATATATAAGAATAGGGTAACAACAAAAAGATTGATATTTTCTTGAATAGCAGGCAAAAAATTCAAGATTCGAAAAATATCTATTCTTTTCCCACCATATATTTCACCAGAAACAATATAAATCTCGATGTCACAGTCAATATCAAGTGCCCGAAGTGTAGGTGAAGTTTCTCCGGGAGTGTAAGGGAATAACATGTCTTTTTATTTTTAATTCAGAATTTATAATCTTTTCTTTCCCCCGTGGATAAGCATGTCTCATTTTTGTTAACTATATCTCATCAGAATTGCATCCCTGTGTACATACATAAAGAACATATCAGACAAACTAACATGTGGCAATGTATGCACAATTCCTAATTCGACACCTCTTTTTAAGTATAGGGGAAGCTATTTAATCACATAGACTTCATCTCTTTAGGATGTAATGAAAATATCATTGTCAAAAAGTTCCTCAAGCTCCCTGAAATTCAAGAATCCGAACAATTAGAATTGAGAAATATGAATTCCAATATACAGGGAAAGATGTATAAACTAAGCACATACCTTGGATCAGACCTAAAAGAAGTTTAATCGACCTCAGGAACTATAAGAGTAATAATTAAATACCTAGCAATTGCAACCATATCACAAATCTGCATGATGAAAATGTTGTCAAGATAGTGTTCGGTTTATTTGATCTTATGAGTTCAAAGTTTTGCTAAAATGGTTTGACTTGCCTAATATAACTGAAAAGTCCTAATCTTATATCTTACTTGTATATTATATGATGAATAACTGATGGGGAATCATTGCCGACCACAAAAGTTTCACACCCTTGTGTTTATTTTATTGAATCTTCACAAAGAAATGTGATATGGTTGATACATGAAAATTTTACCTTCTAACACAACTGCAAGTCGAAACCACTTTGAAAGCAAAGTATATTTTAAATTCTTTTAAACGAAAACTGTTATATAACTATTGGCTTCATCCGTTTCTCCTTGTGCCTGACCATGTTGCTGGTGCCAAAAGAACAGTGTAGAAGAAATCATAGCCTGTCAAAAAAAAATATCAAAATCTTTAACAATTTCAAACATTTTATTAAAAATAATATGCAAGATCCATTCAAACTTGTGAAATTCTAATACCCTTTGCCAATTATTTCCCTTGATAATATTTTGACATTCCTCATAACGGCCATCATCATAAACCTAGAAATGGGTGTCACAAGGACATTAAACATTTGCCACATGAAACAAATTAATACTACATAACATCAAAATACTAAATAACTTGCAACACTTTTAACTCAAGGTTTGTGATTTCTATTACATTCATGTTTTTAAAAGATTTTACTAAAATTTTAGTTTCAATTTCAAACCTGAAATAACTAAAATTAAGTTCTTAAGATATTAATTGGCTGACATAATATTTTCGATTCCACACATTTTTTTTTGCATTAAGAAAACAATCTTCATATTGTCCACCAATTTCACTCACAACCACCAGATGTCTAATTTTCCTTTGTTTCTCTATGAAGGTGTTTTCACTGAGCACTTCAAGTGAATAAAAGAATTTCGTAACTTTTTATGTATAAATATGCTTATAGTATATTATAGGAAATAATAAATGTCCTTCAAAGTGTCTGTCATTATAGGAAACCAATTGACTTGTATCTGTTATATCTTTTTCAGTAGCTTTTAATATTGGATTTCTAATTCATTTTTCAAAAAATTTCCAATCATTTGATTTAGATGCAAAACTAATGATTAAGAGTCATGGGTCATCAAAGATAAGAGGATTTACTAAATTTGAGGTAAAGACTCACCTGGTTATATCTTTTGAGGATAAAAAATATTAAAATTCCAACTTCAAAAGCCATAATTTGGTCAACAACAATAAACATTAAGCAGGCCTTTTCCTGAAAGTGACTTAGCAATCAACCACAATTGACATAATAGTAAGAATGTTGTGATTACTTCTAGTTTATGAAGTGGAAGTGGTACAAGAAGGTCTAGTTTTAACCACATAATCTAAATCAACAGCTATAAAGTAAAATCCTACAACAAACAAACAACAAGAATAACACATCATAAATAAATTCAGAAATAAATGAAACATGATCCCTAAAAACATAATATTCAGCTAGTTAGGCATCTTGAAAAATATTGTGTTTTAAACTTGCTTATGTAGAATATATATCTAAAAAGAAGAAAATACTAAGTTGAAATTAGCAAACCTTGGATTTGTTATTAGAATCGTCACAGCACATACATATTATGGTACTCATGATTGCTCCCATTTCAGATTTGAGCCCTTGTCAAAATCACAAACTCTCCACCCAATTTTTGTATAATCAACTAATTCCCTAAAAGAAAAATAAAAAGCAAATGAAAAGATAGAAAAGGGGGATGATGTGGTTGGGGAAGATGAAGAGAAGAAGAGACAGTATAGTTACCAAATTCGTTGGAGGAGAGAAAGAGAGAAGGTGAAGGGTAGTGTTTTGATGGAGGTGGTGGTGTATTGGGAAAACCAACATATAGATGTATCATTTTCTGAAAGCAGGTGGTTGAATAGGCGGTGACCCTCTATCAAGTTCATGCGCTTCTTTGCCATCAACTTGACAACTATCAGAAATCAGGAATCGGTAGAAGGAACCGAGATAGAAGAAAATGGAGCTCAAATAAAAAAAAATAAAAAACAACATAAAAGTGAAAATTCGTGAAG